GAGCTAACTTAACCACCATAGTATTTTTGCTATATTTTTGAAATTTCAAAAAAAAAACCCAAAAATCCTAAAAATTAATCGTTGAACCACACTTAGCAGTTTAGAATGCATGTAATGTTTCTATTATTCTCTATACCTCATAACAAAAATTATAAATGGTCTAGAAAGAGCTCAGTATCTACATGAACACTGATAACTCTAGACACAAACACTTAGCCTCTAAGTTTGAGGGAACAAAAGCCAGACAATCAGAAATAATTATTTACAACTTTTTATTTAGGTATGAACTCACACTGAGGGATTGTGTTGACTACACCATAGAGGCCTTTATCTAAACGTTATGACTCATGTCAAATGTAAAGAATTAATGACTTGAGTGAAATTTCTAATGAATTTAAAAATAAGTATTTTGATATTTCAAATAAATATGTAATAATTTTTTTACTTGCAATACAGTAAAGACCATCAGGAAGGAGAAGATAATATGCCAAATCACAATGCTAAGAAGTGCTCTTTAATAGGAGAGTGAATAACATCCTGTCCTGATAAAATTATACAATATCTGAGATTTTCCTCAGGGAAGCTAATTTGGCTATGAGTTGGCAATTGTTAAAGATGTGTACTTTAAATGCAAGCACTTACTATACTATTTACTGTAGTGTTTAAACTTTACAATAATTAGATACACACATACAAATATCAACCTTAATAAAGGCTGAGCTTTGCTTCTTGAAATTCAGATATTACTACAAATTCAAAATGATTTAATTGTGTTTAATAAAGATTTTTGATAAAGTTCTATGGGATCAGCATTCCTAGATACATACTGAGGTTTGAGCATAAGCACTGCAGGCTGGCATAGACTATTAGGTTATATTTGAGAGCACATTCACCCTATAAAAATTCATAAGTAAAAAATATTGCTGGATTAGTCTACCTTATTAGGAATTATTAAAATTCAAGATGCAGCAACTTTGTGTCAACACAGACTGTTCCTCCTTCTCTCGGGGCCTAAGATATAAAAACAGCCAGCATCAAGTTTGCAGGCTTTGCTTTCCAGAGGATTCAAAACCACCTTCAGAAAGTCTACACATACACACAACTGTCAGCAGTGGAAAGTTTAAAGGAGTTTGAAGGAGAATAAGATGACCATGCACCTCTGTTTTAGAGGCCCCCAGGGCTTTGCAAGGCTACAATTAAATGGGGCTTGTTGTATACTGACTAATAGAGGGGATCTGAATTATTCCCTAGCTGGTGCTGCATTAAACCATTTTTCATTAGAATTCCTCTTTCCAGACAGAGCAAAGCAAGCTCTGCTGCCAGGTGAGTGTCCTGGGAGAGATTGTCCTATCATGAAACAGATCAGGAAGTAAATTTTCATTTCACAGAGGAGTCCCTGGAGGAATATTTTAATTTTACTTCTGAAAACATACCCAGTATATCCTCTTCTCCCCTGAAAAAATCTCCTTACCCCTCCTTTCTCTCTCTCTCACACACGCACACACTCTCAGCCTAGGATCAGGCTCTAGTTTAACATGTACCCGAAGAGGAATAATCAATACTGATGTACCTCATCATCTGCCTGGCGCAACCGGGCCACAGCATAGCGCCTCACTGTGGGGTTGGTGTAATGGGAGGACAGTAGCTCCAGGGAATCCTCCACGTCCATGGGCTTCCATTTCCCCAGCAGTTCCAGGGCCTGTTTGGCCTCCTGAGGTAGATCCCAATTAACACATTTCAAGAATTTTGTCAAAGCCTAAAATCACAAAAGATGTTTCAATTAGAAACAACAGACTATGACCTGGGGCAGGGAAGGTCAAGGGATATGAAGCAGGTTCCCCTTGGTCCTGATGAAAGAGTGGCAGAGTCAGTGATAGACTCCTTCTGTGAACACTAGATTCAACCCTAGAAACAATGCAGGGCAGGAAAATACAAAAGCATGTTCCCTGTAACTCCACAGATCAAACTACTTTCAGAGCACTATGAATTTTTTCAGTTTTCTTTGACTTTTCTTCACTATGTTATTTTATTTATTTTTAAATATATAAAAATATACATTTAAAAATATACATATATTTAAAAAATATATATTTAAAAATAAATATATTATATATATAAAATTGATTTTTAGAGAGAGAGGAAGGGAGAATGATAGAGAAGAAATCATTCATTAGCTGCCTCCTGCACAGCCCCCCACTGGGGATTGAGCAAACAACCCAGGCATATGCCCTGACTGAGAATTGGACTGAAGACCTTTTTGTTCCTGGGTCAATGCTCAAGCACGGAGCCACACCAGCCGGGCATGCTTTGGTATTTTAAAACACTACAGGCCTCAAGACAAACTTGAGGCACATCTCATGAACTCTCAAATGCTTCTGAGACGAGCTGACCATTTTACAACATTTACATGTAACATAAAACAGATAATGAATGAGAAATTCTGAAGCCAAAGCAGGGTAGACTCCTCACCACTAACTCACCTTGAACATTTCTCTAGAATCATTGAGTTTTTTAGATACTCACATACATAAGGACTCAAATAAATGATTGTTATGTCTCTCTTCATAGAAACAGACAAATAAAAATTCCACAGAAACAAGTATAAAAATAGATAAACACAGAAGCAGTAGCAAATATTCTATGATTCAGCTAACTGTTTTAGTAGCTTTCTGAAACCTCACTACTTTAGATAAGTAGTATACTGAAGTTTTCACCAGACTGTCAGGTAAGTAAATTACCTTGGAGCATGTCACTCATGGTTGCATGCATAATAGATGCTCTTTAAAAAAAGGTGCTTATCTGTCAAAAATTCAACTTTTCCAGGAAGTTTTTGGCAACTTTCAGCTCTACCTTCAGTAGCTGCCTCAATCCTAGTACTTTCATTTAAATGATGCTCTTCTAACTGCCAAATACTTTTGAGGGCTTTCTTAATTCTACAACTGGAGTCTGCATGCCCCAGGTCATAGGATAGCTATCTATTTCTCCTGCACCTCCTGCACACCGTTTAGTACAATGTTTCCCCTTCCAATAAGAACACGAACTACCCTAGGAATCACCCATGCAATTACTTTTCATTTCTAAAATATATTTCTAGGTTGAATGTGGAAACAAAGCAATGCTTCTTAAATAACTACAGCAAAAGGTTTTCCATTTCATCGTACATCAGCAATCTTAATAGAAACATGTGGCTATGTGCTTATTATAAGCAAATCTTGCAGCATGCCTATATTCAAATCAATAACTGAAACAATCTAACCCCCACACTCTCAGATTTGTAGACTTATTAGTAAGATTTATAGCGTACACTACTGCCAAGACACATAAGGCACTGTACAAAGATTTCCACAGCTTTCTAGTGTTAAATGTTACAAATATAAACAAGGAGGTAGTACAATGAAGAAAACAAGAAGAGAAATGATAAAGACAGAAAGCATAAGACTCTGAAGACAGCAATAATAATGATGATACTCCATCTTAAATTCTTAAAGATGCTTTATTGATCTCTGTAAAAGTACAGGATTCAAACGTAATGTGATCCCTAGAGTGCACACACAAGCTTGAGAGCCAGTGTTTTTGGGGTCAAATCCCAATTCTTGGCTCCATCAGTTATTAACGGAGTCATTTGGAGCACATTATTTAACTTCTAAGTGACCTATTTCATTTGGTTGCAGTTAAAATTAAGTGATTGAATACAAATGTTTAGGACAATAGCTATACATAATAAATACTTGATAAATGTTAATATTTTATTATCCAATATTTTAACCCATTTCTGATGTTGAGTCAAACATCAAATGTTAACATTATCACACTTATTACCATGTTTTATATTAATAGCAATAAATATTTTTTTGTGTGTGAAAAGATGCAATAAATATTTTTGTTAAACTCCCTTTGATCTTAGAATCACCTCACTGGTACCGCCTATTCTTACAATCATAAGCACAATCACTTTATAGCTGTAAAATACAATACTTACCATGTATATTTCTAATTTTAACTCCTACCAACTCAGTTATTAGAAATTTCTACTTTGCTGCTAAAGGAAAACCTATTCCTGTACTCAAGACACTCCTGATACCAAGCATGTGAGTTTTCTATACCATTCAACTCCCTAATTTCCAGAGGAAACCAACTAGGCATTCTACAATTTAATTCAATTTTGACATTAACACCTGGGGCCAGTCTCACATGATTAATTCCCATTTCAGATGCCAACTTTGGATCCCCAGGTTGCCCACATTTCTGAATACATTCCTCCAGTTCGATAATTTGCTACACTGGCTCACAGAATTCAGAGAAATACTTTACTTACTATTGTTGGTATATTATAAAGGATACAAATGAATAACCAGATGAAGAGGTACATTCGGCAAGGTCCGGAGGGGTCCCAAGCACAAGAGCTTCTGTCCCCATATAGACTGAGGTGCCACTCTCCTGTTCATCAACCCAGAAGCTCTACGAATTCCATCACTATAGATGCTTATGAAGGTTCCATTACATAGGCATGATTTATTAAATCACTGGCCCCTCTCAATCCCCAGGCCCTCTCCCAGAGATCAGTGGGTGGGGTTGAAAGTTCCAACCCTCTAATCACAAGGTTGGTTCCTCTGGCAACCAGCCCCAGCCTCCAGGAGCCACCTCATTAGCATAAACGAGTGGTTCTCAACCTTTCTAATGCCAGGACCATTAATACAGTTCCTCATGTTGTGGTGACCCCAATTTCATTGTTACAAATTAAACATAATTAAAGCATAGTGATTAATCACAAAAACAATATGTAATTATATATGTGTTTTCCAATGGTCTTAGGCGACCTTTGTGAAAGGGTCGTCCAAACCCGAAAGGGGTCGAGACCCACAGGTTGAGAACCCCTGGTATAAACTCAGGTGTGGTTGAAAAGAACTCATTATAAACATGTTTCCTCTCATCACTACCACTATGGAATTAGTGGGTTTTAGAAACGATGCCAGGAACCAAAGACCAAATATATATTCCTTGTTATATTGTAATATCTCAGTTGTTTTTCTAATAAATTCAATTAAGAATCACTTCTTAAATGCAATGGATCACAGATTTTAAAATATTTCATAAATTTAACTGGTTCTGTTGGACAAGTTGTTATAAACTTTCTAAGTGCAACATCAAGTCTAGGCTAGATGGCTTTCATTGGCAGTAATGAAGACTGTGCCAGTAAGCCCTGATGGTCACATAGACAAAAATAGGTGGAAAGACCAAATTTAACAACAAAAAAATAAGTATAACTTTGTAAGAACAAATGTCCACCAATTTGTTTTCTGGGCACTGCTATCTCCTCCAGAAAATCTTTTTAGCCTCAGGAACCAAATGCCAAATAACCTAAAGCACTCTTCCTGGGAAATTGACTTTCTTTTTGTAGATAAATTAAGGGACAAGGGTACAGGAGTATCTGTTTCCTACAAAACCCATTTTAAATTATTACAAAGATACAAATGTGTCTGTGTGAATATGTTCTCTGGTCACTTCAAGGCCAATATATCGAAAAGTGCTTCCCAAACATTGGAAAATATCATCCACTCGGCCTAGTGATCATAAGAATCCTATAATACGTCCTGAGAATTGAAGTTTCATCACCCACACTTCGAAAACTTAAAATCAACTGGTTAAATGAAACTTGTCATACACTTTATATCACTTCAGCATTTTATTTCTTTTGCACATATCTAGAAGTAATTGAATTTCAGTGGGAAGTGACTACTTTTTAAACAAACAATTTTTCTTGCAAGCCTTTCTATCTGAGGCAGTTCTGCTCTGTAAATCTATTCTATGCTTCTTGAGCCTATACATTCTAACAGTTTAATTCAATATCTTGCTGTGTATTTTACACAACACTGTACTGCATTCAAAATACAATTTCTGTGACCAATATTATTCTTCATTTAACAGAGTATCATAGCCTAACTCAATTTTTTTTTTATTTTTTATAAAACACAAAATAAGAAACCTGTGATTCTATTGAGGAATATTTCCTTTCTTGTGGTGATGAAGAGAATAACACTCAAAGCTAGAGTAAATTTTAAAATTCTTCTCTCGTTCTTGTTATGGATATAAGGAGAATGAAGATGCTCAACTACAAAGAATTTCCAAAGGCCTCAATAAAAGATAAAGATTCAAAGCTGAAGAGTTAAGATGAGCTGCAGTTGGATTTTTATCTTTATTTTGAAATCAAGAAAATACAAAACTGCTTCAGAAAAACAAGTTAAAACATCTAAAGACCATCTCATGAGATTATAAAACATACTAGAGACCTGGTGCATGAAACTCGTGCACGAGTAGGGTCCTTAGGCCTGGCTGGCGATCAGGGCTGATCAGGTTCCCTGCCTCCCGGCCTCCCCCTTCCCTCGCTCCCTCAGCGCCTCGCCACTGTAGCTGGTCACCCGCCATGTTCCATGCCGCCCCCTGATGTTCAGCATACGTCATGGCGAGCGATCGAATTCCCAGTGGAACTCCCAAGGGGACAATTTGCATATTAGCCTTTTATTATATAGGAGGATTTATTCATTCTCACAGCACTTTAGAACAGCTTTCTGACAGATACTACTTTTCCTTTTGTTTCTCTGTTCTGCCCCCAATGCATTTCATAATTTCTGCTGAGGCATGTGCACGATGCTGCAACTGTAGAGGATCTCTATAACCCTCTATTTTGTCTTCACTGATGACTTTCTATTCTAACTCACAAATGTGGGCACATCAAGGAGCAGCACTGAAAATCTTTGTGTTGCACAGGTTCCTTAATCTAAGACTCAAGTTTCCTCACCTGTAGAACGGTAACAATAATACCTAAATTGACCCAGCTGGTGAGGCTCGGTGGTTGAGCATTGAAACCTGAACCAAGAGGTCACAGTTTGATTCCTGGTCAGGGCACATGCCCAGGTTGCAGACTTGAACCCCAGTACAGGGCATGCAGGAGGCAGCTGAAAGATGATTCTCTCTCATAACTGACGTTTCTATCCGCCCCCCTCTCTCTCCCTGCCTCTCTGAAATCAACAAAAACATATTATCATTAATACTAATACCTAAATTGTGGGGGTTTTATGGGGCATAAAAGATCTTCGGCATAAAAGGCTGTTTAATAGATACTGGCTACTATTATCATATTTTAAGAGTTATTGAACCGATGTTCTAAGAATTTGCAGACTATTTTAAGAACTGGAAGAGACTTAGAGTTCACTGTCATTTAATCAATCATATTATATCTGAGGAAATTAAAGTTTAGGTAGGTAAAATAATCTGCCTGCAGTAAAAAGCTTATTAGTGGCAACACAGAGTCAAAACCAAGTCTGCAGATGCAGGTCTAGTGCTGACTTCATCATAATTTCCTCTCCCCCGAGACTTTATCTGGTCTATGGCTTCAGTATGAAAAGCAAATGTCTAGTTCTGACCGAGCCTCTAGCCTGCACTCCAAGCTGGCTGTCACTCTACCAACTCAATTTACACATTTCAAATTACATTTCTCATACTCTCTCTAGCCATATGTCCTCCAGAATTCTACAGTTCCTTTAGTGATGTAAATATTTTGCTAGCCAACCCAGGCTCAAAGAAGTGAGAAGAGGCAAATCAACATTTACTCTGCACCTACTATTCACCAGGTACTTGGACAGGTCATTCACCTGCAATATCTCACCTGCTAAGGAGCATTTCATCATTGAAAAAATGAGGAAACCAAGCTTCCAAAGCAATTTGCCTCATCTTACCTACTAATAATAAGTTGCAGCACCAGAAACAAAACTCATGCCTCTGACCTAACCCATTTAGTCGCTATCAATGCATCAACAAAAGGGTACATGTGTCTTTGTGTGTATACCTCTACAATTTTTTTTTAAATGGATTATCACATATTAGTATATTGTTCTGCAACTTTTTAAAAAATTTGACAAGAACTCTTTATTTCTATGGCAGTTATGCCTCACCTCATTCATCAGCAACAAACATTGTAGATACATTTGATATATGAAAACATTCAAGAAACTTACTTTTTCTTGGTTAGTAAGATAACATCTAAACTTCCAAACAAGATCTTGTTCTTCATATGTGAGTTGCTTGGTTGGTGGATAACTCACAATAATCTACAACAAAGACAAAAGGAACTACTTTTATCAAATATATTCTTCCTCTGTATATTCCCATTTAAAATTTTTCATTTACTTAAAATATTTCTATTATAGAACTACTGTGGAAGCATGGAGAATGTGCATGCAGCCAAGTAAGACTTAAATTTACTGTCCTTATCAGTCCAAAAAGGATATTACTAAAGAGGAGAAAAAGATAAGATAAAAAAGTCATACTCCATATAAAGTATATAACTACAGACCTAATTCAATTAAACCAAACCAAACAAAATAACTAGACTCCCCCTTAAATGGGAAAAATCCAAACAAATCTTTCTCTTATCCAGTCACCATGCTTTACCATGCATGTGTGCACACCAAGGCCTCTCTTGGGCAATGCAGCTTAGGGCCACAGCGCCAGCTGTAAGAGTGCTATTGTGTGAAAGTATATGCTATTTGTAGCTCTATCTCCAGGATGGATATATTTACTGAAAGCCCCCAAATAATAATAAAACTACCAAAATTTGAAATAACTTTGGGTTCATTAACCTTCATAAGTGAAGTGGTATCACATCAATTATAACCAACATACCCAGGTAATTATTTTAATACTTTATAAATTCTTACATTTAATTGGTCTCTTGTGGTAGCATTAGGCTTGAGATCATGGTCAGAAGGTCCGCTTCTTAAACTCCGGGCAAGCTTGTGGTGTTTGCTCTCAACCAAGTTCTCCTGTTAATTATTTAAAATATTTATCAACGATGTAAACTTCACCAAAAGGGAGTTTCAATACCAGTTAGAAATAGAAAAGTTAATAATTACTTAAGACCATTTTATAATACTATTTTATTTTGGTTACAACTTGAGTCTCCTATGTGTTTAAAAATATATCACCATTTTGAGATAATAAAACTAAGCATGCCTTATGCTTCACTAGTGCCCTAATAGGCATGCACATGGCGTTCCAGCCTCTTAAAACATCTATCTCCATTCTCCAGGTATTCAAGGTTTTCATGTTCTCTCGTCATTCAATACCACCTTCTCTCTAAGATCTTCCCTGACAACCCAGACTAAAGCTTCCCCTCTTCCTATGAGCTACTAATACCCTGTGATACCCTGTAGTACTATCACCTTAGCAGTTTTAATTCCAATAGTAGCTTGAGGGCAGAGACAGTGACCATAATAATTAAATGTCCATATTTGGTGTTAACTATTTTACCTATGGTCAGAATCATGTTTTATTTTATTTTTAAAATTTTTTGGTTAATCCTAACCTGAGGATATTTTTTTCCATTGATTTTTAGAGAGAGTGGAAGGGAAGGAGGAAAAGACAGACAGAGAGAAAGAAACATCAATGTGAGAAGAGACACATTGATTGGTTGTCCCGCATACATGCCCAAGCCCCAACTAAGGTCAGGAATGAACCTGCAATCCAGGTGCATGCCTTTGACCAGGAATTGAACCCAAGACCCTTCGGTGTGCGATCCAACACTCTAACCACTAAACTATACCCGCCAGGGCCAAAATCATGTTTTAAAACACTGTCTTGGCTAAAGAGACTTTTTATTGCATTTATTTTGGCACATGTAAATTGTCTATTCACGTCCTTTCCCTAATTTTCAATTGGCTTTTGGTCCTTTGTTGTCCAGTATTTAAGACTTCTTTATGTATTAGATATCCGCCCCTTTGTCTGAGATGTATGTCACAGTTTCTCCCAATTTATCAACTGTCTTTGTTTTGGTGTTTTTGCCATGCAGTCAATTTTTTAATATAGTCAAATTTATCAATCATTTCTTTTCCTGCCTCTGAGTTTTGAGTCATCATTACAAAGTTT